CGGCTGCCTTAGGCATGGAGCCTGCAGGGGGTACGTGGCTCTTACTCGTTCTTTTTCACGTGCCCTGGAGGGATGCGCGCTGCTGGGTATCTGCAGTGCCTTGCGGCTTTCCAGAGATCCCTTTAGATACGTGAACTGTCGGAACGCTCCTAGTGCCCCAGCTGGATGCTGCAGCCCGGACCATCGCTGCACTCCGAGTGCAGAGGCACCCCGTGTGGCCGTGCTTTCCGCCGGGGAGATTGGACCGCACAGAACTTGGCCGCTCCCCCGGGACCGCTGCCAACACGTCAACATGAAGCTTGCTACTTTCGTTTAGTTAGTTTTGATCTAAACTTCGTGGATAAAAATTTAAGTATTGTTCTGTTTAGTGTTACTGCTCAAGGTAACAAGGTAGTTGCAGAATAGTTTCAATAAATTTAATACAATGGAATTCCTAAGTTTAGTGGCAAGACCTGGATTAGACAGAATTTTTCCCTTGCAGGCCTTGATAACCAACAGCTTTTAAAAACCCTTGGGTTAGCGTTGTTGATAGGTATGTTTTGGCTTCAGAAGGGATTATTTTGTAGATAATTGACTTTAGTGATGGTGTTGCAGTAGTTACCCCTATCTTGGGAAGTGAGCTGGTAGTGCTTGGGTCCTGTTGTTTCTGCAGCTCTGAGCTTGTGTGGGGACAAGGATGGAGCATGAAGTGCAAAATTCAAATGAATTATGTTGAGCCTCCAACTTCTGGTAAATGTGTGCTTTGTCCTCAGGAAGCAAAGCCACTGAAGTCAGAAGAACAAGTCCTGGAAGATTTGGTGTATTTTACAGGAACAAATTCACATAGAGATTTCCAAGTCTTGCTGTTTTGTTTAAAGGGCCATTTATGACTTTTACAAGTTGTTGGTAAACCTCCTGTTACACTGAACCAGAATTCAGTTTTGCTCTTGACTCTAAACAAGCCAAATTGTTGCCCTGTGTTAGGACTGAATAGACATGTTTTGGTGGTGGTTGGGTACAGAGAACAAACATAAGATTTCCTCACTTCCAGAACTGTTTGTGCATCCTGAGCAACACTAACTAACATCTGCATAGGCACTAATCTCTGCCATCTCCTGCCTGTGATTCCCTTGCAAATGAACTTTATGCCCTGAGGGGCAATACTTGTAGTTTTTCCTGAGGATTATGTACAGGTTCTCTTGCTGTCCTTTCTGGTGCTGCTTTGGGAGTTGCCCCACTGAAGTCAGTAGGAGCAGTAAAAGTCTGAGTTGTTAGTCAGTGTCAGGATTTTGTGTGCTGCACACACAAACCTGCAGCCTGTGCTGTGAGATCCCCAAGCACTGGGGGTCTCAAGGAGGCACAGATGTGGGAGCTGCTGCAGTTTGGATCACAGCCCTTGTTTGTTTGGCCTGAAGGGACAGATAAAGATGGGACTGAGGCTTCAACAAGCACATCCCCTGCGAACAAGCAGCTTCCAAGTCTCAGGGATTTGTCACCAGAATCCAGCTCTGGGCCTGCAGCTCAGCACAGAAGTAGCCACTGAATGCTGGAGGGAAAAAGGGTTAAAGAGCCTTCCCTTGCAGCTTATACAAATACACAAGGGACACTTGGAAAAGAAAGGAATGTCAGGAGTGCTGTTGGGAGGATGAACAGCTGTTTGTTTTCTGTCCTCCCTCAGAGTATAAACTATTTAAATATTAACATGATCTCTTGCTAAAAGACTTTATTTCCTGCACTTTTCTGGTTTATTATTAAGTTATGAATGGGGGAGATGGAGAGATTAGAATTGCTAATTCTGCCACTTGAAGAAGCATTTCTATTGTTTTATTTGCTCAGAGAAATATGGTGGTAGAGTTTTCTAACAGATTCAAATGGTTTCATCAAGGCTTGTGCTTTGCTGCTTAATATTTTTGCTGCTTCTTTTTATGTACTTTATATATTTTATTATCTGGGTAGGCTCTCTGAACATGCAGTAAACCCAGGAAATCTCAGGCAAAACAACCTGGAAGTGATGGAAGACTAATATTATGTGTAATTGCAGAATACTAATAATATAGATAATAAAAAAAGCCCTTGTAGATGCAAAGGAAATACATATTTGTTATTTCATAAACAGCTCTGAATGGCCCTGCATCCTTTGTTGATTCCCAGGTGCCTGTTCAGCCTTGCTCACACCCTGGGTACCTTGCTCTGTGTAGACTCTCCTACTGGAGTTGTTGGTAAACCTCCTGTTACGCTGAACCTGAATTCAGTTTGGCCCTTGGCTCCAAGCAAGCCAAACTGTTGCCCTGTGTTCGAAGTGAATAGACATGTGGTGGTGGTGGTTGGGTACAGAGAACAAACACAAGATTTCCTCATCTCCAGAACTGTTTGCACATCCTGAGCAACACTAACTAGAGTGTGTGTAGGCACTGATCTCGAGAGTTGTGTAACTAGTCGAGGCATCTGTTTGCTAGTCTTTAGCACTCAAAATATTTAATGACGTGAAGGATCTGGGATTGCAAAACTCTTGCAGGGATGTGAAGCGTAAAAATAGAGCTCCTGAGGCTGCAGGGGAAAGAATTCAGTGTGTGGTTAGTCTTATTTCTGGGAAGTAATCCTTCAAAACCAACAGATCATGGGAGACACCAACCATGTCTTTACTGTTTGCTGGACTGAGGCCTTGGCCACTGGTCGTAGTTCAAAGTGAAAGGGATTTCACTTCAACGTAACACGAGTTTTACAAGGAATGTGTTCTGCACACAGTACAGACCCTCAAGATGCAATTTGAAGGTAATTTAACATGAGGAAGTCTCTAATTTGATAATAGTATTTAATGTCTTTTGATAGCCTTGATTTTGTCAGATGTGTGACTGATGTACATGAGCTACTTGGCTTTGGGTGGTGGTGTGTATGTACCTGAGGAAGACTTCAGAGAACAGACTGCCCCGTTTTGTTGAGGTGCCTGGCAGAACCCTGACAGACTTGGCAAGCTCAGAACTTCATTCTCCAAACTTTGCAGCCCCGTAAATGTTATTTTGGGTGCAATCCTCACTCTTTTCTATAATCTCATTGTCAAAGACTGTGGTGAGAGTTAGCATTGAAAATGAGAAGGAAATGAGGCTCAGGAAGCCTTTAGGCATGTGCCTGGTTTGCGGTGGCTGCAGAGGGGATGAGCCAAACCTCAGCAAGGTTCGTCGCCACATCTCCGCGATCTGGATGGGAGCCACGGTTTAAGGTCGGAGTCTCCCTGGCAACTACAAATCCCAGGGAGCATTGCAGGTCTGTGCCAGCGGCTCGGCATCCTGGCGGAGCGAGCGCTGCGAGCTCCCCAAATCCAGGTGCGGCACCCACCTGCTGCCCCGGGCGGCTCTGCGCCATGGACGCGATGCTCAGCGGCAGCTCGCAGGACCGGGACTACTACAGCCTGCTGGGATGCGATGAGCTCTCCACGGTAAGAGGCTCCTCGGGCTGTCCCTGCCGAGCCACCTGCGAACCTGCTGCCACTTTGCCGCTGGGAGTGTCTCCCGTGGGAAGCTCCGTTCGCGCTGTGCTGAACGCCGAGAATAAGGCTCGGATGAAACAGAATTGTGTGCTGGATACAGCTGAAATATCGGGTTATTCATCGGGTGAGATCAACGTGTGGTGTGGTTACCATGAGCCAACTGCATACGGTTGTGGGTTGTATTATCGGGTTTGAAAAACGAGAAGAAGCTATTTATGTGCCACTAGTCCAGTGAATATTCACTGTAGGCACTGATAGTGCTGCTGAGCTTCTCAGGCTTTAGATGTGTTTTAATTGTTTTAAATTATTCATTTGTTCAGAGGAAAAAAACCTCTTTTTCATTCACATTAATGTTTGAAATGTTTTAAAAACATTACTAGATTTACTAACTTGTTCTGGTAGGAGATACATACTTTAGAATGAGATCCTGAATTGCTGAATGATTTGTATGTAAACAAGTGTGTTTTGTTCTGGAGGTGTCCATATAACATTCTTTTTTGATAATCTGGTGTGCTTAAGTTTTTTTAAATCTAGCTGTTAATTGGAATTGCATTTCAGCTTTGGAAAAGGAGTTTGGATCCCTCTGCTGTAGCGAGGGATGTATTCAGTGGGGATGAAAGGTGCAGTAGATTTATTCAGATGCTCTCACCGGCCCTAGTGGTCAAGTGCTGGGAAAATCTCTCAGTGTTTGATGTCGCTGTAAGCACAGGAGTGAGCACCTCGGGCTGTGGGAGAAGGGGCTGCCTCCCAAGGATCCCAGCGGAGGGTGATGCTCGGGGCTCCATCGAGGCTCCTTTTGCTGGTGGTGTTTCTCTTTTCTACCTCACACCTCTTCCTCAAGGGCTTAGCAAGTAATGAGCAGTTCAGGCACATCTGATCATGATTTTGCAAACTGCTTGAAAGTGAAACGAAACAGCCGGAATGAAAGCAGATGAGTCCTGAAGAACGAGCTGTCGAGCCCTGTTTGCTGAGGAGCATCCTCAGCACATCCTCAGCTGCAGCACTCCTATTACACTGTTCAGTGTTCTGGTCTTGATCTGACATGGTTATATTTAAGCAGGAAATACTCTCAGTTTTTATGGATTTTCCCTCTATTCAAGTAAACACAAGCCAAGTTCTTCCTTGGCTTCTGGTAGAATTAAGCTCAGGGATGCCTAGTTCATCTTCAGACTTGAGAGGAAGAGGAGAGGTTTAATCTACATCCTTCCTCCAAGAACAGTATTATCTGTATGTAGTAGGTATTAGATACCTGTCTTGGTAAAACATCTCTGTGAATATTTGTTAGAAATTTCATATATTTTGTATAAACTTCCTATAAACCTTTCCTTCTGCTGATCTTTTTAACCTGAAGACTTCCAGCCTACCCCTCTGCTACTCTACACATTTCAACGCTCCCCTTTAAGTAAGTTTTAGAGCTGTTAGCTGGGAGTACAGCAACCAGCTCCATCAAGTTCTCTGTACTATGTGTGTGTTTTCAAGTGTCTCACTGACTGGAAATACACATCTGTCCCTCGGGAAAAAGCCACTGACGAGAGCAAAAAGTGTGGAATTTTGAAGTTACGACTGCAGACCACATTTTTTTTCCCAGTGTATGACTATGACAACAAAATTTGGCCAGCTAGTTGTGTGAACTGTAGTTTTATTCTAAAGAAAAAATGTTATGAGCCTTAATTGTGAAGTAAATAATTTAAATTGCATGTGGCTCTCATGGTTTGAAGGGTGAGGAATTTATATAAACAGCCTTTCTAGTATGGGAAAGAATAAGAACTAATTGCTACCTTGAGGTGGGTTGTTGTGAGAGCTTAAGCTGTACTGGAATGATATCAGGAAGTTTTGGCTTCTGAACTATAATAAGCAGCAGGAAAAAAGTGAATATATGGAAACATATTCCCACTCCGGTGGTTTCTTGGGTTTTGTTAATGTGTCTTTGTTTTTCCAGGGGTTGCAATACTTTATGGTACTGCAAACTGTGTGGGAACTTGTGATTAACTAATAAACTGACACATGGCAGCATTCTGTTGTTGGTTATAGATCTGTTCTATTCCAAGCCAACCTTTTTGCACAGCAAGTTAACTTGACAGGAGGAATGTAAACTGCTAGTTATCTGGCTTTGGGGCATCCAAGGTGGAAAAGTCGTGTGGTGCTGGCTGAATTTTCTGTAGAGAGGATAGGGAGAAAAGCCACTTAATCCCCCAAATCCATCTTTAGCACTACAGAGGTCTCTCCCTCCTGCAGTGAGACTTGGGTAACCGTTGGAGTTGATTAAACAAAGCAGCTGAAGTGAAGTGATGCATTTTGCCTACATGGTCAAATGTCTCCACGCGTTTTATAAAGCCAACTTGCCATATTGGGTGACTGTTTCACAGAAACAAGGATGAGTGCAGGAACAGTGAAATGAAACAAGCATTGCCACTGGCAGATGGTTGTTGTTATCTGCCTTGCTTGTGCTAAAACTTGTGACAATGATTAGGACAAAATCTTTCAGCCTTCTTCATTGTTCCCCCCAGCTCCTTTCAAAAGACAAACTTGAAAATCTTTCCTGTGTGTATGTATTTACTCACTTGAAGTCTTAATATTCTGTTTAGGTGGAACAAATTCTTGCAGAATATAAGATTAAGGCCCTGGAATGTCATCCTGACAAGCATCCTGGAAACCCCAAGGCAGGTATGTATTCTTTGCTCTTTAAAAACAATCTATATTTTTCTTATACTAACATGACTAAGATACTAGATTCAGCCTTAGAACTTCGTTAATTATTCCTTCTCCTCCATATATTTCAACAGTCAGACATGTTGAGCAAGTTCTCCTCAAATAGCAAGCTTTTCCTGTTCTTTTCTCAGACTTAGGCACTCCTAGGTGCTAGAGCAGGAAGACACGTGTTGGATGTATTTGTTTTCTAAGACTTTGAAATATTTTCTTTCTATGGTAGAACATCTTTTAATGCAGAATTTATTTAAGCAGTGTCTCCCTTCCCAGACCTTTGGAGCTGGGCCTCTTCTGTGCTCTGTGCATCCCAAGTGCCATACGTGTGTCAGCCAGTTCATTCGCTTTCCCGAACCAGCCCAGCAGAAACACGTTAAATTGTACTTTGATGTGAAAGAAACTCTAGTTTATTTTCATGTAACTTAGTGACTGGCCATGAAGAGCTGCCAGCAGCACATGAGTAGCCATCTGCTTGCAGAAGAGCAGCTGACCTTTGTGCTGCAGGTGTCAGCTCCTGCCCGTGAGGGCTGAGCAGCACCCGAGCTGTGTGGAGCCTGCCACAACCACAGACAGCTCTGGACAGTGTTCACCCACATCCCAGGAGTTTATATTTTCATACCAAAGGGTGTTCTGATCATAATTATGGTCCCCACCAAAAACTTGTTGTCAAATAATTGCACTTCTCATTTTGATTAACATAACAAAACGTTTCCTATTGGTTTAATTCTGAACTGAACAATGTAGGCATAAACTGAGCACCATAGCCTACCTTCTTGTGTGAGTGTGACTTCATCCCTCCCTCCTCTGGCATGGCACAGCTAGGAATACTGCAGTGGGAGGTGGCACTCTCACTCCACTGACCCGAGCAGAGTTCTCAGCAGGGCTTGGCTTTCCCTTCCTTACTGATGTGCCATCCCAGCATGGAGTTCACAGCAGAGGAGAGGGATGTGGGTGTTTAAAAGGTGAAGTAGGTGGGATTTTTCACTTTGCGAGTCCCTGACAAGGAGCCCACTGAGATCTGGTGTTTGAGAGACAACCTATTAATGTTAACCTGAATATTTGTTCTGAACCATAGCACAAAGTGCCAGTGAAACCAATGGAATCAACTGTCTGCAGAAAATTCTGGCTATTGCAGCAGGGAAAATGTTCATCCAGTGCCTGGTCTTGTTGTGTCTTGTTGTGGTTTAACCTCAGCCAGCAGCCAAGAACCAGCAGCTGCTTACACTCCCTCCTCCCCACTCTGCCCCCCACAACCCAGAGGAATGGGGAGGAGAACAACTGGAGTAAAATATGTGGGTTGAGATAAGGACAGTTTAATAACAATACAGAGCAGAATGAGCCACAATGCCAATAGATAATGAAAAGAAACCAAAATCAGTGATGCACAATCCAATTGCTCACCCCCCACGGACCAATGCAACCCCGAACCTCCCCCAGGATCGGCCCCTTCAGCCTGGAACACCGGGCATGACGTGCCATGCTGGGGAATATCCCTTTGGCCAGTTCAGCTCACCTGTCCCAGCTATGCTCCCTCCCAATTTCCTGTGTATCTCCTCACTGGTAGAGCATGAGACACAGGCAAGAAAATGTCCTTGGTTATGATAAACACAATCCAGCAAAACCAAAACAACAATGTATTATCACTTCTGAATTCAAAACACTGCACTACACTAGCTACTGAGAAAATTAACCCCATCCTGGCTAAAACCAGGACATGTCTCTACACTCCCAGTCCCTGTCATATCCTCTACCCCAAGTAACTCCAAAAGGGAAGCCATGTGCCAAATGCCAGAGCAGCTTTGTTTGGCAGGAAGAAATGTTTTATGCTCCATTTACCCAAACATGCTCTATTTGCTTTAAATACCTTTTCACAGTACTGGTGAAAGTTTGCTTTATATTCTTCATTTCATCAGCTTTGAGCTCAATAAAGAGTAATTAAAGTAGACCTTTTATGTGCTGGAAACTAGTAACTCTAAAATGAGGGAAGCTAATAGAACTGTCCCCTGAGCCTGTTGTCTGCTGTTTGATTTACAGCTACCAGTTTTGGTTAGTGTTTGGGTGCAGTGTGTTTCAAGAGAAATCTCTGCAATTTGTAAGCTGGAATAAATGAATAACAATAAAAGATCACTGCAGTACAGATGAGTCACAGATGAGGTCTAAATCTTTATAACCCTTCTGCAAACAGTGACACAGCTGCATCCTTAGTAACCACTCCATGGAACATTACCTGCAGGGAAGCAGAGAGCTCTCAGTCATGCAGTCTGGTGTCCAAACAACATTTTAGCACGTGCAGAGGACACACCTAATAAAACGCACAACTTAATCAATTTGTACTGTATTTAGATGATTCTTCTTGTCAATTTTTGCTTGTCTCTGTTTTCCCCTGCTCATGTTTCCTTGGTGCTGTGCTTTGCTCCTCCTTGCTGCTGTGGCTCTAAGTGTGTCCCTTCTCAGCAGCCTCACCCTCATTTCCCTTTTTGAGGTTGTCTGCAGGGGCCAACTTGTGCCTTTTGCCTGTGTACTCTGTCTCTGAACTGAAATTCAGGAGCTTTTGAAGCAGACAAAGGCTTTGATAGGCTATCAGCTGTGCCCCAGAGCCACCACATCCCTTGGTCACTTGCTCCTCCTCTATTCTCTTTGCTCTAAGCCATTTCTGGCAGCTTTTGTTTCACACCTGAATTTGTTTCTTTGGAAAAAAATAGTGACTTTCACATCTTTCGTGTTCCAGTGGAGAACTTCCAGAAGCTGCAGCAGGCTAAGGAGACCCTCACCAACACAGAGAGTCGAGAACGTTACGATTACTGGCGACGGAGCAGGATCACCATCCCGTTCCAGCAGTGGGAGGCCCTGAGCAGCTCTGTGAAAACGGTGGGTGCTGAGGCTGGGCCTCCAGGAGCAGGGGAGGAAGGGCTGGGCCAGGCAGAAAGTTGCAGTGAGTGAGGGGACGAGTTGCAGCACTGCTGCTGCAGTGGTGGGCTGGGAGTGGTGCAGTGATTCCTGCACTATGGATGCTACAGAAACCCAGGAAGAATTGGAAAGCTATAGAAGCTCATTCCCAGAAGGGTGTTAGGCCAGTAGTTTTAGAGTGAATTTATCAAGTTGCTGGTTTTATGTGTGTTATAGGAACTGTAAGTAACTTAAGGGCTGTTTTCAAATGCTTTAGCTCACTTTGCTTTTTTAGGAACCTTTCCTTTCTTTTCAGAGTTAGGTTGAAGCTGGGATCTTTGTGTAGTATGTTCTCCTTTCTGTACATTGCCTGTCACGCAGGTTTGCATGCTACCTGATTTAGAAAGGACCTCATTGAAAAATACAGAAGACAGATTCCTGGCAACCCTGGGCTTCCCACAGGACTTCAGAGGGCTGTGCTAGGCCTAGTGGGGTGATCTATGACAGGTGTTTGAGGGGTGTTTTCCCTCCTAATTTTGCTAATGAGAAAATTTGGTGTGTTCCTAGTAGGTCTTAATTCCATAATACTTGAGTTTTGGGTTGGTTTTTTTTCTGCCTCATTAGAGTGAATGGTAGTTAACATGTGGTCATATTTTAAGGCAGGTGAATAAATGTTTCCCATGTCAGTTCTGCCCAGCTCAGTCCTGCTTAGGAGAGAAGTTTGAGCCTCTTCAAGTAGAGCATTATGCCTGAGTGTAAACACGTGCTGAAGTATCCAGTGAGGCTTAGTTCAGTTCCAAACAGAAGTCATTCCACAGGCTGCACGATGAAATCTTTCCAGAATGCCTTACTTTGATAGGGCCTTGTGAAGGCAAAGAGAGCTTTGAAAATGGATATTGCTGAAGTGACTCAAGCTCTTGTAAAACATCTGAACTCCTGACAGAAGGAGCTGGACTAAAGGCCCTTACAGTTGTCTGAGGCACTTGTACCTGTTGTCCCTCATCCCCACCTGACATGAACTGTCCTCCCCAATGCTGTTTCTGACACGTAGCCAGCCACGCTTTTCCCTGTCCTTCTGACCTACCAGTGTCTTTCTAAATGTGTGCTTCGTTTAACCATGGAGTAAAACAGAAAGAAAAGTTCGTTAAAGTCTCTTAAAGCACAGAATTTAGCTATTTGTTCTTTTTGCATTCCTTTAGTCGATGCACTGGGCTGTCCCAAGTAAGAAGGACCAAATGCTGGAGGCTCCTGACTGGAACGACACCAACAGCACAGCCTGTGGGATTTGGACCCAGGAGATGGCAGACAGTGAGGGATTGGCCGAAGTGAGCAGGAAGCAGGAGGATGTTGCCATTCCTGATGTGAAATCACAGTCTTCAAAGAGTCCAGACTCCCCACGTAAGTGGAAACAACAGTTACAGAAAGTTGCAGTGTCCAAGGTTAGGCCTGAAATGAGCTTTTAGCCATGAGAAATTCCTCTCCAGAATAATGTGCTTAACTGGTGGCTTTTTTGATGTGGCTTTGGCCTGGGGTTTTGTTTTGGGCTTTATGCCTTTCCTTATTTATTCAGTTTTGAAACTTTCAGACATTTTCCCTCCCTACACCATGTTTACTTGCTTGTTTGCTAGTGACACCAGAAACTGGAGGAGAGCAACAGCAGCAAAAAATGCTTCAACCAAAATGCAAATTTTCGCTTTGCTGCTGTATGAAAATGAAAAATAAGGCAGTTATTTTCTGTGACTTTAAAAAAATAACATGTAAAACTGTTAAGTAAAATACCTAAGTTTGGTTTTTTAATCCAGCACTCAGTAGTTTTGCACAGTTTGCATCTGATGACTTGAGGTCTAAAATTTGAGCCCCGGAGGCTCAAAGGTATATGAACAGTTTTTTTAAAAAACAGAATATGCACCAGAGTAAATGTGATTTCAAAAGCTTCACCCAACCAGTTGGATCTTCCTGTCTGTCGTTGAGGTCAGTGTGCCTGATCACAGTTTGCTTACCACAATTCTGCCTGAGCCCTCAGGAGCCTCATCTTGTCCAGCCTTTCTTCCCAGTTTGACCAAACAGGAAATCAAGTTGAACTGTGAGAGTACCTAATTGTAGTCCCAAAGATTTGTGGAATGCAGAAAATAGATGAGAAAATTCTACAGACAAGTGTATGTCACACATAACTGGAGACTTGATATTGAAAAAATTGTGCTCTATAACTTGATACAATTTGTTCTTTTTTTTGGTAATGAAACCATCACTATCATCATTGTCAAACAGCAAAATTGTGAAGTAAATGAAACATCGCCTTGTTCCTTGTAGTGGTGAATTTTCTTTGCAGGCATCTTCTGTCTCAACTTGTGTTTGAAGGTTTAGTTTCATTTCCAGAAGTTTGAATGGGAAAAACATCAAACCCATCAAACACCTCCTTAATTTCTCCAGTGAGCATGTATTTACAGTAATGAATGCTAATCTGACCGTGTAGTTATTCACCAGGGTCTGTATGCCCTTCGGTGTTTACACTTGCTGTTAGGGTGTTGATAATGCTTTTGGTTTGTCCATGAAAACTTACTGCTTTGGATTCCACTTTGACACTGTGCCATTTTCTGTTCCTGTCTGTACCAATCATGGGCTACAATTCCAAGGAGCCATTTCAGCCCGAGGAAGAGATTTTCACACTAGTTCTGCTAACAGCTTCAGTTTCCTGATGTAGGAAGATCACGTTAGTATTACCAGGCCACAGATAATGAACTTGCAGATCCATCGTGTCATCCTCTGTCGCCTTTAGATTAAGCAAATGCAATTTGTGCAGCTTTCTGTTGTGAGTTCTCTTCTGTTCTGCCCTCGTTCTTGCTGTTCTCCTTTGGACTCTTCCCAGATGATCATATCTTGAAGTTTGGTGTTTGACTTCTTGTTCAAATGTGCCAAGAGCACAGAGGGTGTCCCTGCTAGTCAAGAGCACTGGAAGTGCCCAATTTTTTAACTTACTTTTTGGGGGGAAACTGTCAAGTATTATTTCATACATTTTACACATGTTTATAGTAATTAACTTGCCTTTCTCATTTTCCCTCAGGATTTTCGGAAGGAAATTACTGGCACTTGCGTTTCCGCTGGTCGGGGGATGCTCCGTCAGACCTTCTGAGGAAGTTCAGGAACTATGAGATCTAAATTGTGAAACAGACAAGAGCATGAGATTATCTGTTCAGCAGTTCAATGTTTTTTGGTTAGCAGTGACAGGTTATTTGTGTTTTGTGTTAATTCATTGTGATGTGGACATGGTTCAGGTCGCTGTCTCAGTACTGATTTGGTGACACGTGTGCTCTGAGCGTTACAGGTGGAGGTCTTTGTGTTTAATAGGCCAAGCCCTTTCCAGTGTCAACAGGAGGTGATTTTGTGATGTTCTCTAACAATCTTTCCTATATCCTTAAACACTGTGTAGTGATTAACATTTCTCTTGATCCTGTGATGCTATAAAGAACATGCTCAGTAGAACCAGAAATCATTGTTGGACTCTGTTCCAGAATGATCTTCCAAACCCTGTGTGACAATGAGCTGCCAACAAAACTGCTTATTTCTGAGCCACGTGCCCTGGTTCACTTCTCCGTGGCATGTCCTTACTGCAGTGATTTATTGTGGACACACTGCAGCCTTAACTTGTGGGAGAATTGTGGTCCTAGGATAGAGATGAAAGAAGGAGGTTCTCAGTATCCAAGGTCACTGTGGCAGATCAAGCACCTCTAAAAATCACTTGCTGTTTTGCACCAGCTTTTTGTTTTGGAAAGCAGTTCCAAAACTTCTCCAGTTAGAATTTTTTTTTCTTAAGATGACAACTGATCCCCATTGTATGAGTGCCAGCACTGCCCTGTGGCTTCAAGGTTACTTCCCTCCCTGCTCTGACCTGGGAGACATGGTTTGATCAGGGTTTTGTGTGGTGGGAGGAAAAGACTCAGGCTAGTCAGCACTAGTGTGTGCAAAATCTCACATGGAAGGTTTTTTGATATTTTGGGTAACTTTTCAAATTCTGCATTGTTGTTTATTTATTTTGTATTGCTTTCTGCTCTGTAAGCACTGGGCTAATATGTCAGGTATTGACACTGTGGCTTTATGCAGGCAGAGAATCCCATCAGCAGCAAATAAAACTGCATGCACAGAGAAAAGGGGTTGCTTTCATCTTTCAGTTCAATGTTCCACCTACCACCTGGCAAGGTGTTCCACCCACCCCTTCTCAACTTCTTGGTTGCCTCCTCAAGTGGGTAGAAGCTCCAGGGAGTCTGGTTGTGACTGTTGGACGTTACTGTGGGAAATCTAACCCAAGGAGTGCAGTGTTCTCCCTCCTTGGACAATATTCTGACACCTCTCTCCCCCTGGGGCGCCGTGTCTGGCTGTGCCCCCTGGGGCTGATGTGCTGACTGACCTGCTGTGAGCTGCTCTGGGGTGCCTGTTTGCCATAAACTCTAACACACTTGCCTGCCAGTGCAACCTTGAGAACACACGTATCTTACTGAGCTCACAGGCCTGTTTACTCTGGGGCCAGTTTTCTCCACGGGGGCTGATCCCTGTGTTAATGCTGGTTGTGTCTGTACCAGTTTACAGAAGCTCAGAGAACTGGTGTTCTGCTGACACAGCTGCACTGGTCCTAGATTTGATGGCACTGGTAGCAATAGCCATTTTTACAGCACATCATCCTGCTTATACCAAATATTTTATTTAGGTTAGATATAGGTTTTATTTAGGTTAGATATCTAACCAAATATATTTAGGTTAGATATTAGAAAAAAAGTTTTTTACTATACATTTGGTGGGTAAGGTTGTTTCCTGAGTGCTTGTTTTCCTCTTTGAAAGAGATATTTTAAAAAAAGGCAGTTTATATGTTCTCTAATAGAAGCAAATATCCTGATGATTAAACCAGATACTGGGTGCCTTTAATTTCCTGAGCATGAACATTGCTGTCTTAGCTTCCCAGCAGGCTCAGCTCTGGTGTCAGGATATGAAAGGGCAGGCAGTGAGGCTGTCATAAGCTGATGAAATCACAGTGCAAAAGACAAAGCACCTCACTAAGTTGTTGTGCTCTGTCACTGCCAGACAGGAAGATGTTTATCAGTCAGTTTATGCTGGGTGTTTATTGCCTCCCGGTGTACACTGACCCTGCTGTGCCAAGCCTCCCCACGATGGAGGCACTGGGTGTGTTTGTGCTTTCACCTTCGCTGTATGAGGCTTTTCTCTCTCCCCTGTAAGTTAAAATGAGACTCTTCATGAGCTCTGTTTGTCCCAGCTTCGAAGGGCTTGTGTCTGAGTCATTACAGTGGGGCACATAGAAACTGAGAACTTGTAGATGTCTGTTGGATATCCTAACTTGTCTCAGCTGATAGATGTTAGAGAAAATGAATTTTCTTTCCTCTATTCCATCTTCACAGTGAGCTTCCTCCTTCTGGTGGAGCAGTAAGGAACAGGGGTTACTGATAGGTAAATGAAATTTGCTGCCAGTGTTCAGAAGGTTTCCAGTTTTGACATGCCTTGTGGTTCTTGGTGCTTTGGACAAAACGATTTGCTGGCTGCTTTGTCAAAACTGCTTTTCTGAAAATTTGGAAGGACTCTTGGCACCAAGGACAGACAACTTATCTGAGCAGATATGCAGCTTGGGCATCAGTCCTTACAGAAAGTTACAGAAGCTTAGCTAAGATTGTCTGGTCTAGAGCTGGTTGTTCTCTAGCAGTTCCCTTTGATGGAAGCCCCAGGTATTTGCTGGGTAGAGGATTGTCATCTCCTGCTCTTCCTCACAGATTGTGTGTGAATGATGTCAGTGGGTGGGCAGAGGAATGAGCAGAAAGGAACAAGTGGCTCTTGCAGCTGGGGGGGTCTGGTTTGGTGCCTTCTGCTCCTCCAGGTCCTCACTGTCAAAGGATCCAAGTCTTCCCACGTTCATCCTTGGCCTGCCAATGCCAAAGGACAAGGTGATTTACTGCAGTGTGGATAGCTGCTGATGCAAAGGAGCCTGGATGGTCTAAGCACCTCTTTGCTAAGCTGGCTGGAGGCCCCTTGATCCCTGGAAGTTGTGTGTGGCAGGCCTGAGCCAGGTCTGGGCAGGAAAACTGCACCAGGTGGCAGAGATACAGAGCAGTTCCATGCTGAGCCCAGGTGTACCACTTAGGGGCTGGAATACAGCAGCAGATTCACTGCTGCCTTGCTGTTTGGTGCTGTTACAGCTGAGGCTTAGCAAGGGAAGTAGATCAGAGCAGCACTTGAACTCTGCTGTGAGACAGAGATGAAAAGTGATAGAAGTCGAGAGCACTGAGCCCAGGACACCAGTGCTGGGGTGTGTCTGTAGCTGTACTAGGCTGTTTGGCACTCCTTACTTATTTTCCTCTGCAATTGCAAAAAATAACTGCAATTAAAACCATGTGGTCCTTCCCCTTCAGTGCTTTGGATGGAACATTCTCATACATTTTGCTGAAGGGTGAGGGTGGGAAATAACTTGGGTGGTCACTGCTGCTCCATTGTCAACTGCAAGTTTGGAGGGGAAATTGGTTTTGAGGAGGAAAGGTTCACTGAACACAAACACTTCCTTAGACAGAAGAGAATTTTGTTGCTTTTCTGACAGACTGGCCTCTTATTTTTCAATATAACATTAAAACAACCCCGTTTTTTGGTGTCAGTGGTTTGACATTTTCATCCCCAGCAAGGTCCCAGGGAAAATGACATCTTGAAGCTGCAAACTTCCCAACAAATATTTATTGGGTTGCTATTTTGTCTTCAGATCTAGGAAAGCAATGAAATGTCTTTTGGAAATAAGACACTTAAAATGGTCAGCAAAAAACTGGCAACTTCTTCAGAAAAGTGATAGAAAAGAAGGGTTTAGTACAAAGTTTGCCTACTGTGTTTTGTGTTTTGACTCTCTTAATGCTATCTCTGTTAGTTTGGAAAGCTACCCAAAACTGCATCACACAAGATGGAGATTCACTCTTCTGCTCAAGATTACAGAGGTGGCAAGGATCTTCAAATGATAACAAAAAATAGTTTAAATTCTTGACTGATTAAACAAAATCAAGCCTTATGTGTGGAAAACAGGGTGGGTTTTTCTGAAACATGCACACTCCCCAAAAATTTGGTGTTTTGCAGGGTGACGAACGTGTTCTGCTCTATACACAAAACTTTCAGCTGCTCTTAGAGTGCAAATATGCTAAGGAGGAAGTAGCACTTGGACTGCACCTTATCAAAGGGTATTTCAGTTGGTATTGAATTTAGAAACTCTCTTTTCTGCCACACCTGAGATGAGATATCTGATTCCAGTATCCATCGGCACTTACCTTCGCCTGTGAGAACTTAAGGGAAGTGCCTAATGTTGCAGCCACCTCTTGGCCAGTCCCATTATTTGCTGTTCAACGTTGCCTTTCAGATGTAAACTCTAGCACTTTTTTTTAAAAATTAGAATCCTAGAATCAACTGGGTTGGAAAAGACCTCCAAGATCATCAAGTCCAACCCTACCCTGGTTACCAAACCATGGCACTAAGTGCCACATCCAGTCTCAGCTTGAAAACCTCCAGGGATGGTGAATCCGCCACCTCCCTGGGCAGCACATTCCAATGCCTGAGCACTCTCTCTGGAAAAAATCTCTTCCTAAGATCCAACCTAACCCTCCCCTGGCAGAGCTTGAGTCTGTGCCCTCTTGTCCTGCTGCTGTTGCCTGGGAGCAGAGACCAACCCCCACCTGACTCCAACCTCCTGTCAGGGAGTTGCAGAGGGTGAGAAGGTCTCCCCTGAGCCTCCTCTTCTCCAGGCTGAACACCCCCAGCTCCCTCAGCCTCTCCTCATGCCACTTGTGCTCCAGTCCCTTCCCCAGCCTCGTTGCTCTGCTCTGGACCTGCTCCAGCCCCTCAATGTCCCTCCTGAGCTGAGGGGCCAGAGCTGAGCACAGGATTCAAGGTGTGGCCTCACCAGCACCGAGTGCAGGGGCAGAATCACCTCCTGGTCCTGCTGAGCACACTGTTCCTGCTCCAGGCCAGGGATGTGCCTGTATTGCATGTGCCTTAACAGAAACAAAAAAATCCCTGCAAGCCTCGTTAGAGAGCACTTTGAATTCTCATTTTGCTGCCAGGTAGACAATCATTTGTGTTTCTCTTTTTGCTTTTATTTCATTATGGGCAGATATAATTCAGTGTTTTCTCTTCTT